CTTAAAAAGTCAGCCTAAAAATACCATTTAAATAAAAGTTGGGCTTTAAAATTAGATTTTTTTTTTTAATAATCAAGCTTGAGAGCTTGATCCTAATAAACCATATAAAAAAAGGCCTGAGCCCAAGTGACCATTCAAACACTGTTATTTTATTATTAATTTTTTAAAATTTTTGTAGAATACTATGTTTGAAGAAGGGAGCCTACTGAGCCTTAAGGTTACTTGACTTTTTAAAGATTGAAGAATTCAAATTAAGCAATCGCCTCTTGCCTCTCCTTGCTCGTCCCTCCCTCACGCCCTTAACCAATCAACCAGTCAACTTTATGCGTCTCGTTCCTTGTCCCTGCCTCACAGCTCACGCCTTATATATGAGGGATCTAATACATGTATTTGATTGATAATGACATACTTGATTAATATTTATTATAGGTGATGAAGAAGAAGTTACAAAGATAATTGACATTGAACCTCCGCCTTCATTTTTAACAAATAGACCTACATCTTAGGGATCTAATATTTTTTTTTGAGATGATGAGGAGATGGATTTAGATTTACATTAATGATGATTTAATCTTCATTTTAAATTTAAACTTTTAAATCTTTATTGAATTTTATATGAGACTTTAATTTATTTAATGTTAAATTTTAAAATATTCTGTTTAAATTAAATATTAAATTTCTTTAAAAAAAAGGCTTACGAGATTGGCTCTGAACTCTTTAAATAAGGATCAAGTTTTAAAATTAAATTAAATTTTAAATAACTAAGTTTTAAGGACTGAGCCCATAAAGATCGGGCCGTTGCTCGTATTTTCATTTCTATCTGCAATGGGGACCATGAGCCATGAGGGGTGTGTTGGGATAGACGGCCAAGATATTATTAATTTGGACGGTCAAGATTGGTTTTGGAGATCTGTAGCGTACATACAACGGACAAACTGTGGATTGGATACGCAATTTACCACAGCCACACACTCACTTGTCCCCTCCACCATATTCTGCCTAATCTCACCTCTCTTTTGTTTATTCTTTTTTGCTTTTTTTAGCCACCACTTCCGAGCGTCAAATTTTCAAACATGTTCAATTTAAAATTTTAAAATAAATAAATAATCCAAATTAATCATACTTATATAACACGCATCTCTCTGTTTTTTTTTTTTTAAGGATCAAATTCATTTTAAAATAAAACGGAATACATGATTGAAAAAAACCAAATCAAATGAGGAAGTTAATTTGGGTTTTGAGTTTTTATTCAAGGTATATCACAAGAAAAACATATAACACGCATCTTCGTATGGTTCTTCTTAAACACGCTAGTCTCTATATATTTATATATATATATATTAATAAATCAAAGATTAAAAAAAATCAATATCAACATATGATATGAAATGTATACTAAATTACACTATCCATAAGTTATAAATGATATAGGGTAAAAATTTAAACATCCAAATTCAATATCATAGCAATATTGTCGAAATCAACATGACTAAGCATTGGCAGCATCATCAGCAATATCATCATGATGATTGTCATTTCATGAGTTCCCTGACTTTGATTCATGAGTACTGACCCGTGACTTCGTGAGCGTTAGTTGTAGAATTTTGTATGTTTATTTTATTTTGTATTTTTTACCTGAAGTTTTAAAATTAATAATAATAATAATAATAATAAGATTATTACTTCTAGCCCCTGATTAAATAGCTTTAAATGGAAGAAAAAGGCCTTTTGCTTTTCTCACAAACCTTCTGTTTGGTCTTTCATGTTTCTTGGTTTTGTGATGTATTACTATTCATTGTAGAAACAATGGGCACATGTATCTTTCAAGACATGGCACTTTGAAAATACATGGATGTAAATTGTAAATACACTGATTCATCATAATACATGTATGTCTACAGAGAAAGCAACCCTATATAATTATCATGACCTTTTAGAAAGGGAGGGACAAATATAACAGAAATGGCCAAAAGCATGGGATTAAACTCAATAGTACTCATCAATGCCTCTGAAGTGAAGAGTCATTACAGAGAAACCATGAGAAAATTACTGATTCAACATCATCAACAACTAAAAACTGAAAAATTAAGAGCATTTTGGTTTCTATTTTCAAAACCTTTTTATTTTAAAAAAAATTAAAAAAAAACTCGTTTGGATTAGTGTTTTGAATTGAATTGTTTTCAAAATTATTTTTATTTTTAAAAAGCGTTAAATATCAATTTGGACCCTGAACGATAAGCCCGTAAGCAATTTGAACCCTAAATTTTAAAAAAGTATATTCTAAACCTTAAACAATTAAAGTTGGAGCAATTTAACCCTATCATTAATTTTCAACAAACATTCTAAAGTGCAATTTTTTCCTAATGAATTTGACGGATGTTTGTTAAAAGTTAATGATAGGGGTCAAATTACCTCAATTTTAATTGTTTAAGGTTCAAAATGTACCTTTTTAAAAGTTTAAGGTTCAAATCACCCCTGGACCTATAGTATAGGGTCAAAATTGCATATTAGCCCTTTTGTATTTTAATAAATGCACTCCAATCAATAATAATTCAACAATAACTGAAAAAAGTGTATTTTGCGTATTATATCAATTTTTAAAAAGATTTTGAAAAAGTGTGTAAGTTTCTTAGTTTAAATTAATTGATGAAGGTGAAAATTATAAAACAGAACCAAATGCCTTTATGATAAATAAAGAGACAGAGAAAAAAGTGTATGATGAGAAATCTATTTTAAATTCTTTTCTAACAAAGAATGATAATATTTTTTCACCAATATTATTATGAGATTCCATTATGTTAGAGAACAAATAAAAAAAAATATGAAAGTGTGCTTATAGTAAAAGATTATATTACACTCCCATTATTGCCACTGATTACCTATCAAAACCCCATCCAACAAAAACAAAAATAATCCACTTGACACTATTTTATTCGTACCCACCATAATCTCTACCAAAAACTTCTTTACTCATTATTACAATTTACAACCTTCTTTTTATATAATTTAATCATCATAATCATCATCATTATTTACATTTTTTTAATTCATTCTTCTCATATCCTAGGAAATTTGTAACATTATCAAGAGCTAATATATAATTTGGACCCTGAATTATAGGTTTAAAGGCGATTTGAATCCTAAATTTTTAAAATTGTACATTTTGAACTCTAAACAATTAAAGTTAGAACAATTTTACTCTACTGTTAACTTTCAACAAACATCCATCAAATTGGGCCTAAAGTATAATTTTTCTTAAATGAATTTGATGAACGTTTGTTAAAAGTTAACGGTAGGGACGAAATTATCCCAACTTTACTTGTTTAATATTCAAAATGTATCTTTTTAAAGTTTAGGGTTTAAATTACCCCTGAACCTATAGTCCAGGGTTCAAATTGATATTTAACCCTTTAAAAAACAAAAATATTTTAGAGTTGTTTTTATTTTATTTTCATTGTTTTCAAAACACACTACATTTGATTGTTGAAAAATATAGTTACTCTCACCGATTTCTATTATAAATCACTACTATTAATCACCTACAATTATAATGATTAATCTATTTTTTAATTTTAAAATTTTTTAAATTAACATAATCAAATAGATTTTCATTTTATTTTTTTTTGAAAAGTAATTTTTAAAATTGTATATCAAAATAATTTTTAAAAATAAAAATGAGAACAAAAACTAAACAAGCCCTAAATAGTCCCAAAAATGAATTTGGATGGAATAAAATGGAATCTAAAAGCTAAAAATTCTATATCATTATTTGGGAGAATTTTTTAAAAGGTAGTAGAATAGTTTGGGATAACCTTCCAAGCCATCCTTAACCATTTTAAGCCCTTTTTTTTTTAAACCCTATGGAATGGCTTGATATAAATAATATTATTATAAAATTACTCCCATCCTCTCCTGCCCCTCTCACTCTTTTACTCCCTTTCACCCTAATATTGGAAAACATAATAATTATATCTACTTCAAATCTATTAATTTTATAATAATTATTAAATAAGATATTTACTTCCTATGATAAAACCTCTAAACAAGGGAATGTTTTATTTCAACCCACTCTATCCTACTCCTCCATTTCATTCCGTTAATTATCATTTCTTTGTATTTTATCATACACTCTTAAACATACCTTTAGAATATGAGTTAAAAGGGAAATACTTTTGTACATTCAATGATCAACTCACAGTTAAAAAGAAGATTGTTGAGATGTTGACTGTAATTTTATTTGAGACGTGCTTTTGAAAAATTGAGGTAATATTTTTAAAAATAATTTAAGTTTAACTTTTCCATAAACTTGATACAACCGTGGGAGCAATGAGATAAAATATCTACGGCAAGGGAAGAGAAATAAGATATAAATGATATTATAGTTAAAAAAAAAGATAAACATAATAAAATTCTTGAAACACAATAAACTTTCTCAACACCTTAAAAATTCCTTACCCCTCATTTTTTTAATAAAATAAGACTAAACATTACTCCCTCCATTCCTTCTAACAAAATAAAAATATTTAACTTATACATACAAGTAAAACAATTTTAATAAATTTATGTTTAAAATTCTTTTCCATCTTGTCATTCTATCCTCAAATTAGTACTTGTTATTTTCCAACGGGGCCAAATCTTTTTTTACTCTTTAATTAGATACTTTGGAAAATAATTAATTAATTACTCCTTGTGAATTGTCTTGTACGTAAGAGCAACACATCTTTCGAAATTTTGCCCCATAATTAGGAAGAGGGAGTATTAGAAAAATATTTTACCAAGTATTTAATTATTTATGAATAAATAATAAAGCTGAACAAAATTAATGAAAGCATCAAATTTAAAAGGAGAGTAAATAAAACAAAATTTTTAAATCACGTTCTTGCATACTTGACCAAAAAATATGTTGATGCATATATTTATTTTAAAATTAAAAAAATAAAAATATAACTATCTATTGAAAAAATTTGCTTATTAACACCTAAAATCAACTTTTTATCAACTGCGTTATAAATATAGTAGCTGTCATGATTTCTTGGATCAATATCACAGGATGTGCACTAGTGTGCTCTCCATTGTCTTAGTCGAATACAAAAATGACAGAACTTATTAGTCAATATTTTTCAATATTTGCTACTAAATGCTCCGATAAGAATATTACAAGTGAATATTTTTTTGAGAACTCAAGATAACATGATTTGGTTGTGCAAACAATTCCTTCATGTTTGCTTTACAGGTCAAACTCTTGCTGAAGAATCTGTTGGCAAACACTTTGAAAAACTTCAACCGAGTCTTGTAATTAAAAAAAGGGCCGAATCCACCGAAGAGAAACCTGATTTTTCTCCAATAATAAAGGATTCAGTGGATCTAGTGGAGAGAGAAAAACATGAGGGGTGGGACCCTTTGAGAAGAGAGTCTCAGTCTCACCCTTGTCTCTCTTCTCACTGCATCTCCTTCATTACAGTTCCAGAGCAGATGTATTCCCATAGCATCAAAATTGAGAGATTGCCAAAGCAGTGGTAATTCTGAACTAAGAGAGAGACCCAGCTTTCCCAGGCTAACACTCAAAGTCACATGGTATCTTTAGATCCAACAATAAATTTAGCAATGAAAAACCCAATTGTATCAAGCGGAGATGATGGATCAAACCTCTGCACAAGTTCTTCCTCACCAGGTCTTAACCACTCCCTATACAGGAAAAAGAAAGAGCAATTATGAGCATTTTACTATTTTGTTGAGTTTGATAGCACTGCCAGTGTAATGTTAGTCAAGTTGATACAGGGTTTCTTAGGAGTTAGGAAACCAACGAAAATGACAAGAAGATAACAGGTAGGAATCTGATATAATAAGGTCATTGATGAAATACGATTACAACATTTCACTTGTGGAATTCGAAGAGAAAGGAACCAATATGATCATTAGGTGACCTAATCAAGCTCAATAAGAATTTAACATCGCAAGGCAATGGAATTTAGCATATTATTTAACTCATTGGTATAGTATGTTGATGCACACAAGACAGCCAATACAGACTACGCCCACAACTTCAAGCCAAAGGATGCAAGAAAGCACAGAGGTCCTCCGCCTAAAATTAAGCACTATATTCCCAATATTTACCAAGACACAACTACTGGGCAAATGATTGATTACCCATTTGTTTGGTCCTCCTTTCCTGCCTCATTTATGCTCTCTCTATTTTCCCGACAACATACAAAGGATAAAGTTTGACTTTGAAAATTTGAGAGACAGGGATATGCTAGGGGCAAGCAGAGAAAGCAAGGGAGCAACAGAGTAACAAAATATAAGAAAGAGAGGGGAATTTGTAAACAAAGCCAAATGCATGAACATTAAAGGGCTAGAGATAGTAACATGTTTATTACTCAACTCAGATCAACCCTGAGCCTAACTTGTCAAATTCATCTCTTTGATTCAAGATCAATAAAAATCTAACACATGATTTTCCTGCCCAGATCATAAAGTAATATCTTCAATAGCTATAACAAAAGATTTTGAGATGCAATAATTTACTGCAAATATCTTTTTTTTCCCAAATAAAAGGATAGGAAAACCATACAGGAAAGAAACAGAGTAGTAAGCACTTCAAGAAAATATTAATTTGAAACAAAGCAAACAATATCATTAATGAGACGTACCTAATTATTTAAAAATCAACTAAGGTACTTACTCTACATATCCATCAGGAAAGTCGCAACGACCAAGTAGTCCAGGTCCTCCAACTCTAGGGTTCTGGTGTGAATCATATAAAATATGAATATCAAGTGATATGAAATTATGCTGAGGCAAACTAAATATGAGAGTTAAATCTGACCATTAAAAAAATGATTGACCTAATCTATTTGATCATGAATACCTTTTTATTTACAAGACAAGACTATACAGAGAAAATTATTACAGATGCCTAGCATATTCAAGAGACATCACCCTTCACTTAATTATATACCATTCAATTTTTAAAGAAAGATATTTCCGTATATCAATCAATTTTTAAGATTGATAACTCAGCTTTAGGCTTCAAGAACCCTTATCATTTACAGGAAGTTGAAGGGAAATTGAAAAGGTGCATATATCGTTTCAAACCTGTGGGCCAATGACAGATACTTGTATGTGTCCAAAGCATACCGTACCAATGCTTCATTCTCACCGGGATTTATTGTACAACTAGCATGGATTAAAAACTGAACAATCAGTACGGTTTAACAGAAAACAAAACAGATAAATTAATCAAAAAAATACATGCTAGGAAACTGAATTCTATAAACATAATGGTCAGCAACGGCCACAACAAACTTTTAAGATAACTGAAACAAATATTTAAATCTAGAATCCTATAGGCCTGCAGTTTTGCAGCAGGCACAACTTCTAAATCCGGAGCTAGGAGATCACACCACAATGTATTTAAGGCTATCACTTCAGAGAAATAGTAACAACACCACTCAAAATAAGATTGTCATATACAAGCAGAAAACCAACAGGGATATCTTCAATACAATTCCATGCAGAAAGAACAAAGTAAATAACACATTATGGAGTCTAAAATGATAGGGACCACAAAAGAAGGATAAAGGCAGTGGCAGATGAGACTCCTTGATTCCCCCAGCCACGATAAATTATGTGTAGAGAAGCTGGAGTACACGCACATATGGGATGAATCCCAATTTCGTACAATGTTCCCAACTATTTTTTAGGTTTTGTAAAGAGATCTTAATCATTACAAATTAATTATAAATTAATACAACTAATTTATCTTATTTTACCATTTTGAGGAAATTAATATTTCAGCTCAACACTATAAATAGAATTGCTTGATTTGATTGATAAAAATTAAAAATTCTGATTTCATATTTTTATTTTGGTCCATCACGCAAACACTTGTCAGAGAGAAGGCCCTCCATTTTTATTTTCATTCTTAATTCTTATTAAATTCCATTTATTTTCATGATTTCTGTCATTGTGGCAATCCTCTTAACTACTATATGTTGATCAATGCACATTAGGCGTATGAAAAATTCTTACAAGGAGAATTGCTAGAGTGTACTTACAATTTTAGCACTCAATATTAAGATTTTTTTTTTCCAAACTTGTAATGACTTCTAATTCACTTGAATAGCATTGATTATATGAATGCCCATCAGGTGTTTGATATATTGTTTGTGAGTATATGTTATTGGTGCTTCATCAATTAGTAGTTATTCTAATGTAATTGGATAGGTTGAAGAATCTAGAAATGAAATCTTATTCAATTGACTTTAGCAATCAAATTAAATGGATATCTGGTGTAGTGATGGTTAAGGGATGAAATTCGGTTAAGCAGAACATGCACCATGGGTATGAATCAATAGATGAAAATGCTATTAAGCAAAATTTGGGCATCTTGGTGATGAATCAAAAGTTCAAATTGCAGCACCTAAACGGTCAAAATTTTCACAGATATTCAGTCCAATGAACGAGTTCATTTTGAATATATTACCTTTGGGATTACCTACATCAATTGAGCTCAGCCACCTTGGGCTTGGAGGTTAATGTCACAGGAATCTAGCTATCTAAGTTTCAATAAATTGCCTGATCGTGCTACTCTATGTTAATGAGAGATTGTCCATACTGAATTGAATCGTGTGAATCATTGTATGTTGAGTCTTTAGTCTATCTTGAGTCTTTTTATCTTCCCACCTTTATATGTCTTATAAAACGTCTATCTCAATGGTAAAAAGAAAAGAAAAGAAATTTAACATGCCTGTTGTATAAATTTTGCATGCTTGTAGATAGAATCATAAAAGGAAAGCATAGCTTTGAGTTCCTGCACTTGCTCGCATTTTGCTTTTAGTCCCTACACTTTTTTTTATATTCTAGGTTCTTACACTTTTATTTTTCATTGTTTTAAGTACCCCCAAGGTCCCTACACTTTGTTCATAGAGGGACCTAAAATAATGAAAAACAAAAGTGTAAAACCTAGAACACTGGGGAAAAAAAATGCAGGGATCAATAGCAAAATGCGAGCAAAGTGCAGGGATAAAAAGTTATGTTTACCCAATCATAAACTAACAAAAAATGCTATGGTGAAGTTATAATAAATGCAAGACTATTCCTAGGAGATTGACACTCCAACATAGCCGCATCAATATGATTGACATTCTACAGAAATATAGGATCACAAATCACATATTGGGAGATAAAAGTAGTGATAATGAGGTCAAACATCTACAAAGCAATATGGTTAAAAATATTATATATCCATACTTACGTGGAATATACAATTACTCCACCAGCACGAGCTAATTGAACAGCCTGGTCAAACATTCTCCTTTGGTATTTTGCGTGTGTTCGTAAGGATTCAATAGTTTCCTACCATAAACAAAGAGTTGCAGTCATTACTAAGTCTTTTGATACTCATTATTAATCAAAGTGATTACAGATATTAGAACATAAAGCCAGCATAAAGAAAAAATGGCATGCAATGTTGAAAAGTTACAGATCTCTATTTAACCTTTTGCCAATAGTCTTCACTACATACAGCTAAGATACTTCAACTCTTTGAGAATGAGGGCTTCTAGACATCAGTATGAATTTCTAAGCAGGTAGAGACAAACCAGATGAAAAATCCAAAAAGGTTCTAGTTCCTTAGATGTTTAAGCAAAAAGCAATGAGATCACCAACATTTACTCCCTCCAGTCCAAAATATAAGTAGTTTTTGGAAAAAATCAGCATACTAACAAAGTCATCATTCCCATAAAAATATTTATCATTTTCCCTTTTTACCCCTTGTCTCAATTACCAATGCACTCTATGATGAGTGAGAGATACATATATACAAACACATAGGTTAATAAATATGTACTAGGTTAAATTTTTCTCCATTTAACAATGGAGAAAATTTTTTTTATATGTACTAGGTTGCTTGAATTTAGAACCAAGATTAGTTAAGGGGAAATGCTTATATTGTGGACCAAAGAGAGTATGATCTAACGATTCAGGCACCAAGCATAGAATATTACATACAGGCCAAACCACACATCGAACTAGCAATAATAAATGCATGCAAAAGGGAAATACAACTAAAGTACTTGGCCAGAGGAAGATGGCAACTTCACAATTCACATTGCGCTAGCATACCTTTAAGTGTTGATGGCTTGATGTAATGGATTTTTTAAACTGGAATCAAATGCAATTTGAACAACAGCCCAAAGCACTTTCTGGGCACCTTTGCCTAATTCTACTGCATAGGCATTATTCCAATCACATACAAAACGTTCATTACTGCTACACTATCCTCCAAATAATTTCAGCTTTATCCTTGCATATCCAAATGCCATTGAAGATTCAAGCATTGACAAATATGTTTTAAATTAAGAAAATAAAAGCAATGGATCCAGCATTCCAACTCATACTTGAAGGTAAGCAGGTCCTCGTTCCTATCCTATCGACATATTCATTCATTTATTTCATACTTGTTTCTCTTCGCATGCATACAGGTTTAGACACAAGTAAATGCAGGGCTTCAATTCACAACTTCATTTTTACCTCTCCAGCAAATAATCGAGGCCTTAAACCAAGGGCAGAACAAGGAGCATCAAGAAGAACTTTATCAAAACTGTTAGGAGGAAAACCTTTTGACTTCTCAACCCTACCACCCAGGCATTGATTTCTTCCGGGTCCATTTCGCTCTCTCCGCATACTCTTCCGGATTTCAGCTTTGCTAACATATGTTCCTTTGTTTTCCTCTTCAATGTGATCAACTGCTGAATTATTTATAACAACTTAGTGAATGGTTGGCAGAAAAATGACGTTCATGTCAATAACAACCACAAAAGAAAGAGAAAAGAAGCATCACACGTATTAATAATACTACAACAACAATAACAAGCCTTATCCCACTAGGTAAAATAATCCAATATCAACAATATCAAACAAAAATAATCCAATGATTCTGTTTGGAATGTTAATATAATTGCCACGTCTCAACAATATTGAGCCTTGCCAAAATGGGGAAAAAATTAGAAGAAAAGGATGGGCTCATCAGTAGGGTCAAAGCTGATTCGCATGAAGTGTGCAGTGTGTGTGTGAGAGAGAGGGGGGGGTCTGTTAGTTGGGCATATATGGAATTCCCAGAGCACTATATGTACCTCCATCTTCTACCCTAGACAGCAAAATGCGCGCAAAAACCAATTATTGAATCAAATTGCTAAATAAACCCCATTGATGTAATAAATAGCTGGTAGAGGACAGAGCGTACCTACCATTTTCCTCCATAGTCTTCTCAATATTTAACCTATTTATACCAATAGATGACATTCTTTCTTCATTTAAAATTGATGAATCAGAAACTTGATCTGTCACACCATTGTCAGCATTACCACAATATGAACCGCTCAAATTATCTGGTTCATTTCTTTGACAAACAGCTTTAAGAGCATCTAATTTATAGGTCTTTATGCAACTCAATCCCATTTCCGCTGCCAATTTCTGAATATCCATCACCTAGACAGCCATCAAGCATAAAAAGTATAAATTGAAAATTATTAAAACACAGAACCAATACAAGAAAAGGATCTGAGAAAAAAATTGGGATATTTTGAACATAAAACATGGCATTTCCAGTTAGACAAATTATGTGTTAAGAGTGAGTAATTCTGTAACAGGCAGTTTTGCCAAGCAAGGGAAATATGTGTTTTCACTTTCTATGTGGCTGAGGGACCCTCTTTAATTTGCTTCAAGCCCCCTGAATTTCGAGTAGTCACTTCATTAATAACTATAGAACTAAGATCTTTACTAAAATGATATGTTAGAATTTATCTTGTTATATACAGTTAACAAGTGCTTTAAAATTTTTATATTGACCAATGATCTTACGGCTTAGTGGCATGTAAGCTCTCCTGTAAGCGAAAGGTCGTGGATTTGATCCTGCTTATAATCTTAGACCGTTAGTGCCTACCCCTCTAATTCAACCAAAAAAAACAATTAAATTTTTATATTGAATATTAATAAACATCTCTAAGCAAGGATAATTCTGTCCATAAAAATACTAAATTATGAATTAAAAACTTACTTTTCTTAAGAACCCCAAACTACTGAAATTTGCTCTGCCAGTGATTGTCAAAAGTTTACACACTATATGAGGTGCTACCATGACCATTAACTAATAAAAAATTATAAGAAACAAAACTAAAAACCTTATTTGAAATATTCATTGAAACCATCCTGGAGAATAATGTCTTCAAGAAAATAGAACAAAAACATATTTTTGCAAGTGGGAATACTATTCCAGGCTTCCAGCAAATCCAATCATTGCAAACACACTGAAGTCAAGAAATCATTCATTAAAAAAAATATTAGGATGTAAAACAGAATGAGCCAACACCAATTTGTTAAATCAGATCTCTAGAATACACAAATTGCATAACCAAATTGGATAACCAAGCATTTAACTATAGTACAGAATTTCCACCTTGTTATGAGATCTATCAGCTGCAATGATCTCTCCTTCATCCTTCATAAGTATTGCAATTGCAGTTGTTTTCCCCCCTGGTGCAGCACACATGTCTAGTATACGCTCTCCCTTTTGTGGATCTAAGAGAAAAAGATGTAAAAATAGATGCCAGATAAAAAGGAATGAGTTCCACATAGAGAAAAGATAAGCCAAGGAACAGTATTTTGAAGTCCATGCAATTAGCAATAGTTTCTAATTGATCCTACATTAAAATATAAGTGCTAACGTGTACGAAGAAAACAAATGGGAAAAACTACCATTATAGAATATATCTCTCATAAAACACAAGGGTTAGTGATGGCTGTCAAAATTATCGAAGATTTAAATGCAATAGACACAGAGCAAAACTAACGTTCATAAGCACTACAAATCATTGAACGAGGAATGGCTCATGGTTCAATCTTAAATGGTCAAAGCAGAGCTTAAAAAAAAAATATTTCTTTTACATGCAAATGCGCTATTAATATTGATACTTGTATTGAAAATTTCTTATAATAATATATATAAATAATTTTAATAATTTTATAATTATAAATTAATCAAAAATGTAAATTTTAGGAAATAATTCTTCAAAATAATACAAAATGTGAATGAAAATACTGTTATGACCAATGTTGAATAAGTATTAATGTTTTAGTCAAAATATTAAGTTTTCATGATCAAGTCATGCAACAAAGGGGTAAGATGACAGGTTTGATTCCAGTTCAAGCCTTAATGGAGCAATGTGGTATTTGTCACAGGTGGATGACTAGCTGCCACATCTTTCACAACAAAAGAGGTTGGCTCACTTGAACCATCTGGGTTTAACCAAACTGGTTCAGCTACTTCCTGGCTGGCTTATAGATTCCCAATTATCAAGTCCGAGATGGACTGGACTACAGAGTATGGACCGGCCCCAGTCCAACAAGTCTAGTTGAGGATTATGATATCACTGATGAAAAAAATCATGAATTCAACTTTATTGGGAAAAGCCCACAAAATAATGGACAGTTCGTTTAAGCAACTGACAATTACATTGTGAAAATTCTAAATTTCTAAATATCAAACAAATAAAATACATCAGAACCAACTGAATATGCAGATTAACATTCTATGTTCATTCAAAACAGAATTGTTTAGACAAAACAGAAAAATAATTAAGTTTTATAGTCCAAACTATCCTAATAAGCCTAAATAAGGAGTTTTGCGCAAGCATATCTGTTGAGATGGTCTCCAAAGACTTAAAACCAAGTAGATTAAGACGTGTTTTGCATTGAAAAGAATGGTACATATGAGAAGAGTTTATAGTAAAAAGCACTTGCAACCAAAGGTAACAAATAGTAGACACTTTAAGTTCCCGAATGACTCAAAAGGACAAGGCAAGCGGGGGACGAGACCTATACTGTAATTTATGTACCTAAAGCATGGGCAGTAACAATACTTGGCAGGTTTTGAAGAAATATGTCTCCCTCAAGCACATCTGCAAAACCAGAAGGAAATGATACAGCAGCTATGCACATACAGTCAATACTGTAAGCATTAAGCAATGTCTATTTGCAAAATACACACACATTAGAGAGCCAAAGAATTATTAGTAAAAAGAAAAGAAGGGGAAAAGGAATACCAACAACAGATTAAGCAATGACCAAAATAGAGCAAAACAAAAGCAAAAATGGCTAAAAAAGTCAAGAGATAAGGTCCAAATGATATGCAGTGATTAAGTCACAACAGCAACACAAATTTATCCAAGTCGCACCAGCCACCAGATGCTAGCTTTCACACTAATAATCAGAAACCTTTTGGCTGCACAAGCTAGACAAAGCCTCCACTCCTTCCACTGACCAAATAAGAAACCCTCCTGGAACACATTGACTCATGAAACTCTCGCCTCTTCAACATACAAAGCAAAAGCCTATTTATTTTTTTTTAACTTGTCTTAGCCAATGGCAAAAAGATCCAAGCATCAATTATCCAGATACTCAGAGAACTAATTATCAAACCAATAGCCAATGTTTGTCATTTTCACTCCCAACAGAAAAGGACAACACGAGACCATGAACCAAAAGAAGCAAAACAAATTTCAACAATCCCCCTGCAAAATGCAATCTTGGGGCTTCTCAACCCCCCTAATCAGCTGCAATCAAGGCCATGCCACTATCCAATATCCCCGCTTATAAATTAAATAACATAACATCAATCTATAAGATGACGTCAATCTCAATCTAATCATGTATGAAACCTATAAGATCACAGGTAAAGAGGTCTTCTTCTAAATATAAGAAAAATAATATTATTCTGTTCCTTCCTCCCTGTGATCTCTTCTATCCTAATAATATTATTCTTGTAAGGAAAAAGGGAAAAGAAAGCAGAAAAAAAGCATATTAAGCCACTGAAATATGCTTACCAAAAAGAACAAATAAAAAAATGAATCGTTTACAGAGGCATTGCATAAATTATGAAAATCAACACTTTAGCATGCCAAAATGCATAACAATGGGTTGACAAACATGAATCACAACATGTGGAATGGAAACAGAAAAACTACCAAAAATAATAATAATTATAATAATAATAATAATAATAATAATAATAATAATAATAATGCAATACAATATTTTTATCAAGAAGAGGTGAGTTTTACTATGAAAAGAAGGAAGTTCATATACTCTGTCCCTCATATCCAAAGCCACTCCTTTAGAAACACGAAACATTCCAGCCCTTGACATCATTGTTGTTCCTTGGCCAATATAGAGCCCACTTCGTTCAGAATAATAAGGATCTGTAAGATAACAAGACATGGAAACTTCATCATTCTTATTTTATAAGAGCATTCAGTTTTACTTCAACGGAATATTTATCTTCAACAAGCACCTAGCAGCTACATTGACTACTACAATATTATTTAAATAATTATAATAATGCAATTTATGTAATCTAGTATTACTGGCCAAGTAAGGAAAAGGTCTACCAAATAAAGTTCAGAATTGAGATAGAAATACACTCCCTACCAGTTTGTGACCCTTGTAGTACAGTACCACGTGTCATACCAATACCCCATCCCCCACTGACACCTGGCTGCTCCACAGCAACTGAGACCGCAACTGTATCTCCTGTTTCAACATGAGCACTGCAAGCCATTACACCAGGAACATATACCTGAAGGAGAACTAACATTAGGAAACAATTAAAGACTAACAATCCTGGTTTATTTCCTTCCACGTGATTCATTGACTTGAATGGCACAAAAAACGAAGAATAATAAGAAAACAACAGAACAGTAAAATAAAAAAAAAAGTTTCTATTGATATCTTTGTGTGTGTATTAGAGATATCTTGAACTCAAATTTGCACTCTCTTAGTCCACAGATTACAAGTTAATTATTCCACTCTCCTATCTTTTCTTTTCTCACCAAATCAAAATATTGATACTTTGAAAAACATGCAGCAAGTCTAATATTTAACAGATGCAACTCAAATCAGCTAAAAGAAAAGATAATATTATCAGATCCTAATTACATTTTGTTTTAGCGCCAGGTTATGTCCAGAATCTCAAAGGACAGGAAGAGATTTCAGTTTTGCTGACCATAGCAACCATGCTGAAAACTGTCAATGATAGGCGTATATGTAACAGATGATGTAACAAAAACAACCTTGAGACAGAGAAGCTCTGAGTCCATGATGTTTACAGAGGACAGAAATATGATAGTAGCAGAGGTAAATGAAGTCAGAGAAACCAAAGTTTTTAATGAGGCAATAGGTAGGAAGTTATAAATAGTAACATCTCCTCGCAATCACTTATCCAAAATTAAGCTTACTACTTTTACAGGAGGGAAGTTAATGACCTGAGCACCGCGAAGAACTGCTTCGGCACATTTCCTGCTAACAAGGACCTCCTTGGGAGGTCTATCATGTGCAAAATCATAATTGATTTTGTGCGGTCCTGAACCCTGAACAAATACGACATAATCTAGGCCAGGAATGTGACACTTCGAAACTGGAGCAGCCCGGGAACACGCCTTCGAAGGATTAGCCTTATCTTCACTTTGTCCCAGAGCTATATTTCCGCTGAATTCTAAATCCCGGATATTATTGGCTTCACTTGAACAACGCTTTGAGTCCAAATCATTCTCAGATCCCGATTTATTCATTACTGCTTGCAGCTTCGCAATAACTTCATCACTTGTAGACCTGAGCGTATTTACACGAACACAAGAGTAGCCAGAGGGACGCCTAAAAACATGTGTGCAAATTCAAATTCAGCCATTGAAAAAGACGACGACTTTGCTGTGACCAAGCAGCATACTGAAAATTCCAAATCGTACATACCCATAGAAATTATAAAATTTTAGTGACAGAAGCACATTTTGGCCGATAAAAGAAGCTCTAAAATGGCATCACAACATCAAGGGTGGGCATACCAGCTCTCATCAACGTGATCATGAAAGTATACTAAAAGGAATGCAGTTGAACATAATGAAACGACGAACCTTGAACCAAAACTGAAATGCTCAAACAAAACTTTAAAAAGAAAACACCTTAACAACCATTTTCCTTGTCTTGCTTTTGAATGAGTGCGTTACATATTCAGCTTCAACTAAGAACCATACGCAGCAGACACAGAAGGTACAATCCGAATTTTAATCAACACGTATACTGCTACGCATTGCACTACAGGGAAGAAGTGTTTTGAGCAAGGAGGAGGAGAGAAAAGAGAGTACGTTAAAGATTTAGAGATGCGAGAGAAGTGGTCGGCGCCATAAGCTTTGACGAAGTAGTCATGAACTTGAGGGTTCCATTGAAGAGTTGGGTCGTAAGAATAACGATTTGATGAATCCTCCATGCGGTCGAGAGCTACAAGGTTCGAACTTCGGCGGATTCTGCAACTGCCAAGGGTTTTAAGCAAGTCCCTCGCTTTCTTCATTCAAAGAAGCCAATCGAGGGAGGCGGGGCGCGTGAGCGGTTAAGTTAAACGGGACTCATAATTTTTTTCAAGATTGAACCGGATCAGAAAAATTTACACGCCATATTAGAGCACATGGCATGAGCGGATTGGGAGATTCTGATAGCATTAGAAAAACAAATAACTGTACTGATTGGCCAGGTTGATCGGCTGAAGAAGCTTACAGTTTTGATTGTTGAGGGTGAGGAGCAGAGAGCCCCTCCCCAATGCATGGACATTATAAGATTTGGTTAAATTAGGAATATGTTAACCCTACCAGTTAATTTCTTTCCTTCTTTCTTAAGGTTTTGCTTTCGTCTATATCCAAAAATAATAATAAAGATGGTTAAAAGCAAAAATGTTCAACTTAAAAATCCACCAAATGTTTGGATATCACTCTAATATTGTAGCTGAACTCTTGAGTATTTTTGAAAGCTTCAACCTTAATGCCATCAAATTAATGTTTTTTGTACTCAATGAAGATTCTCACCCTCATTCAAAATTAATATTAACAAAATTATCCCTTTATTTTGTCATACAAGAATTGGGTTGTCCCGTTGACCACATTTAAAAAAAAAAAAACTAATACTTATATGGATTTGTTTGCTCATCATATAGACTATGATAGTTTAAGATATTAGGATTATAAAAGATCTTATCTTAGGGTGCAGGGATTTTTTGCTTTGTGACGTTAATTAGTGTTGTTTCTCTAGCACTGATTTTATTTGCAACCTAGTAACTAAAAAAAAAAATGTTTGTCAACACGAATCAAAATTTTATTTTTATTTTTTATAAGGAAAAAAAAAAAAGGCATGTCTATGTAATATGTATGGTACAATTAAAACATTGGAAGGCACAGAATTTGAAATGAGACTGTATAAAATGGGGTCCTAACATTACAAAGAATCTAACCTCATATAAAACTCATTATGAGGGAATTCGTGTAAGAGAGAAGGGTGTGGAGAAGATTGATGCATCAACAAAATTGTCAAACTCATAAATTTAAATAAATTCATAATAAAAATATAAAATGATATCACACACTCTAATTGTAAACTCATAAAAATTTACATCTATTAACAAATAGCTATTAAAATATGATTGTAATTTGATTTAAATATATTAACAATATAAATCATTGAATTAAACCTATTTATATTGATAAATTATCATATACAAGACATAAAAAATTTAAAATAAGGGAACTTATTTTTGGCATTTTTGTTTTCTTTTTTATTAATATTAATTTTTGCATTTCAAGTTTTTTTTTTAAATCAAGTCCTATAACTTTTATGAATTAAATTTTTCATATTATATACTGAACTCGCTCGACTAAAAAAAATTGATGAGCTTAACAAGTTTAATTAAGCTTACATTTAGCCTGAATTTATGAATTAATGGATATGATTTTGTAAATTAAAAACGTAAAATCAATAAATTAGGAGGTAAACTCGTGATTTTAATCGAGTTTATATCTAATCCAATTTTATGAGTAAATTGATATAATTTTATAAATTAAAAACATAAAAACATTAAACTTATAGAGTCAATTTAAGAGTTTGACAACTATGTGCATGAATAAAACATGCAAGGTTAATTGAGTTTCATGAGTTTGCCCACTAATTAAGTGCCTATTTGGATTAGCACCAAAATTAATTATATAAATCAAAACTATAATTTTAGTAAAAATCATCCAAACACCTCCATTTTCATATAATTAATTGTTTGTACTGGAACGATGTTTTGCTATAAGCAGAGAAGAGTGGCTTATCATAATTGATTTCAATGTTTGCTTCTTTTATTAGTTGTCGGAAATTTTACCTTCCAAGCATACACCTCTAGCAAATTTCAGATATCCTTTGAGCCTCAATGTTAGCTCCCCGTGTTAGCTTTTTATTTTGCACAAATTGTTTAGTCACTAAATTCAAAAAAAATTATTATATTATTATTGAAATTAACATTAACATATTTTAATTTATTTATTAAATAGAATTCAACAAATTTAAAAATATTAATTATAATTTTATCAATATTTAAATTTTAAAAAATAATATCTTTTATAATAATTTGTGCATTTAAAATTGATTTTGAATAAATCACCTAAACATCTTCAATTTTATCAAAATTAATTTTAAAAAACATTATCCAAATATCATCACATTATAACGTAGTCAATTATAATTAAAATTTATTATATTAATTGATTTTTTTACAATTAATTATATCTAATTGAAATCCAAACACACCCTAAATGTTTTGCTCTCAACTTAATCCTTGTGGTCATAATGAGTTCCTGATTTCTGATTGGGCCATTAACTTTGGAGTGGCATACATATTTAAAAAAAAAAATCACACACGATAGCCCAAAGCAAGGATGAAATGATGCACTGTACAATGGGCATTGTGACCCGGGTTGGATTAGGCAGCTAATTATGAATTAGAAGCTTGCCATGATAATTGGAGGCGAGGCTTTATGAAAAAATTAGGATTCTTTCCAAGTGCAATTGCTAAAATGTTGAGCATCACAAAAATTTTCCATTAGAATCTTGGACTCTAAAAAGTTAAGATATTCTTATACATTCAATGGAAGTGATTGACAACATTCAAAAAGTTTATACGAGATCACATGTTGCTTAACTATGATTGCAAAAAATATAAGAGAAATGATTTTGAGAGACTAGAAGGCCCCTCTGTGACTACATTTTTAGAAAAACTAATACTTGTGTTTATTTGAAATGCAAAGAATGAAACGGGAAGCTTGAATACAAGAAGAGCACCTTAATAGAGTCTTTTCGTCCGAGTTTGCTAGAATATTTGGAAAGCTATATGCAAAAAACTCTATTCCAAATATGAGATCTTGGATAATGATATTGCCTTTTTCAACAATTAACAAATCAACAACGACATGAAGCTTCTATCCAACATCAATCACTTGAATAAAAGAAACATTAGTTATAAAGTTAATTGAAAACTGCTTGAATTGGAATGGATTAGACTCGACACTAATGGTGCAATTAACATTAATATCGTTGCTGCTTATGAAGGCATCATTAAAGACGATAAGGGAAATCAAATCAAAATTTTTTTCAAGCATTTTGGCTATAACCTAGCATAGCAACTGAACTTGTGGGAATCTATGAAGGCTTTATCCTTTGTTGGAATGAAAAATTATCCAAAATAAATGTTCATTCAAACTTGATGGAGGCATTATCTCTTATTATCTACAATTACTTTAGAAGTCATCCTTTATCTCACATCATCAAAAAAATCAAAGATCTCACAATGAGAAATTAGATGATTACTTTTTAATCATGTTTATAAAAAAACAAATAGATGCTTTGATCACTTAACCCATTGGATATCTCGTGACAACTTTGATACTACGATCTTCAATGTTTTTCCACATGATTATAGAAACCTCTTGACTTTAAACAAAAGTAGATCTTAGTCTTTTTGTGCTGATTGCTGTGGCCATATATTTAAAAAAAATGTGCTGATTAGCTGGCACACAATGTGCATTTTTCTAATCATCATACAAGTTATGGTGTATCTTGTAGAATATTTGTCTATTATGAGATGTGACATTATCAATGAACCCACTGATATTTCCTGTAGGATATTTTTTTTGGCCTTCTGTTGTATTTTAAAAAAAAAACCAATGAACATTGTTGATAGATATAGCACAATAAAAAACCTTCCAAAAACATGTATGCGCGTGGTTGATAGAAACAGGTCATTCCTATCGGGAGAAAACTTATGTGCAAACTGACTGGCTAGATTTGTAATGCTTACTAGTTGCTAATAGTACTTACTGGCTTCCATAACCTAGTTTATAAGAAAGAACTTCTTTGTTTCTTGTTTTTTCCTTTTTTCCTTTTTTTTTTGGATAATGAAGGAGGGCACTAATCCCTAAACATCACACAAGCATAAAATCCTGAGGGGATTAGCATCCCATACAATCAGTTTCCACCAAAGCCACTAAATGGCTTGGAGTGGAATCAATAAAATGAAAATCATTCTCCCTACTAAAACTATCTTTGACAAGGTGATCAACTATTCTATTTATTTCTCTAGGGAATTCCTCTTTTGTTTTGTTGCTGCTATCAATATAACCATATGATAGTAAGTGTTAAGCATTAAAGGGACAACAAAAATATAAAAGAAAATTACATATAGATCCTACATGGAACAAACTTATTTGCAAACAAATTTTGCAAAATTTAGAAACCACGCCTAAGTCTCTTGGGGTATGAGTGTAATTTAAAATTAGAATAAAAAGATATAATGCTCCTATTAAGTATATATACATTACATTAGTCAAATAATTTATAATTACTTCATCAGTAATTTACAAATATAATTTAAATTTTTTATATCTATAATTTTATATATTCAACAGTCAAACTTTTAACTATTAAATATGTAAAATTACAGTTATAAAAAGTTAAAATTATAGTTATAAATTACTGATGAGTTAGTTGTAAACAATTAATGTTAAATTTTTTTTAATAATGCAAGATTGCTTAATTATTGAATATGTGAAATTACAGTTGTAAAAAGTTAAAATTATAATTATAAATTAATGATGAAATAGTTATAAATTAATTATTTAATTGATGTAATGTATATTTAATAGAGGTATTATTATTTTTATAATCTCATTTCTAATTACAATTAAATCCTAAAGAACTTGGTTGTAATTTTTAAATTTTGCAAGAACAAATAAATCTACTCCACAAGGCTTATACATAATTTTTCCAAAATATAAAGTTAAGATTTTAAAGTTAAAGATGTTAAGATACACGTGTAGTTATATAATAAAAGAAAAAAAAATCCATCGTCAATATATATTAGGAAGAGCTGGCATGATATCTATTAAAAAAAAGAGAGATAATATAAAACCATTTAAAGTGATTCAGACGTTAAAAAAAACATATTGCTAGAGACGCTAATGAAAAGAGTTGAGTTATCATGACATTTATCAAAAATTATTGAATGAGACTTTCTAGTAAATGATATATACAAAAATTGGGTGTTTAATAAAACACAATTACGTTGTGCAATCAATCTTACTTAATAGAGCTTCCGTGTTTGTCCTAAGCTTTGCTGTTGTTCTCCGCACCTTGCTCTTATTGGGTGCTCTCCCAATTTCTATTATAAAATACATTTAACTATATTATTAGAGCTAA